GACTGAGATCTTGCCTCGGTAATCGGAGTTGATTACTCCTGCAGCGACATCAATTTCTTTTAGCGCTAGACCGGACCGAGGTGCGATTCTTCCGTAGTGTCCTTCAGGGATAGCCATGATAAGATCGGTGCCAACCAGGCCTCGTCGTCGGGCGGGGATGATGAGTTGATGTGCAGCAGAGATGTCATATCCTGCTGCGCCACTAGTCTTTCGTTCGGGGAGGGTTGCATGCTCCGAGGTGGAGATGACGACGAATTCGTCCTCCATTGGTTCTGGGAGTGGGGTAGTTACGGCCTTCTTCAGTTCTAGCCGAGCCACTCGCATTTGGTACAGGTCCATCTTCCAGGCCCTGGTCTCGTCTTTCGTCCACCAGTGGTTTAGCTCAACTCGTCCGGTTTTCCAGTCTATCTTGGGGTTTTCGAGCTTGAGCCAGGTATGGCCGAAGATGATGTCTTCCTTGCCGATGCTGGCAACGTAGGCTTTGACAAATCGGGGTTCTCTGCTTATCTTGTAAGATAAGAGAGCTCTTCGCGTAATAAGTGCTTCTTTGTTCGGAGTTCCATCCACATTGAAGACGGGAATGGGTCGGGGAAGAGGTTCTGTCCGAAGTCGATGTTCTCGGATGAATCTCGGGCTGATGAAGATTTCTGTTGCGCCGCTATCGATGAAAGCGCGCGCCTCGACGTCTTTTCGTCCCACAGTAATCGGAATGTGCAGAGCGTGTTCATTTCGGACTACTAGAATTACACGGGACAGTGAAACAGATACGGGCAGTGGTTGCGTCGGCTCACCCTGCCCCTTCAAAAATCCTCCATCGTAAGTTCTTCGTACAGCTCCCGCTTCTCATCAGCGGAGAGTGTCTTGATTCTGGCGCAGAAGTCGTCCTTCCCAGATCCTCCCTGGTTTGGCCTTCCACCCCCTTGTCGTGCGGCCGCTTTCTTGCGGCAATCCTTGGCGCTGTGACCCTTGATGTGGCAGTAGAAGCACAGGTTCCCATCCCTGTGGAGCTTCCGATCGGCCTCGTTGAGAACGGCTCCTAGTTCCCATTTCCTTCCTCCCGATGTGGAGGTGAAGGTTGATGCGACGGCAGCAGCATCGATATCCATTGGTTCGCCATAGTCCCTGGTGTCTGTGATGACGAGGGCCCCCTGCTTGGCTGTGTCAGTGTTTCGAACTTCGTCGTACCAGGCCTTCATGGTGTTGGGTCGATCCCTAGCGACCCTTGTTGCGAGAGCAAAATACAGCTCCTTTGGGAGTCCTTTGACAAAGTTGGCGTGAAGAGTGTGGTAGTTGTTCTCAATGCAGTTGGTGCCATTGACCTCGGTGTCCTTGAGCTGAGCCTTCGATGCCAGCTGCTCGAAGTGGGTGACGTAGTTACTGAGGGAGAGTGCCATCTTCCTGTCCCTCTGTTGTTCAGGCAGTTTCATCAGGATTTGATGTGCCTTGATTCGCGTTCCGTGCTCAGGGAACACCTCTTCTAGGGCGGCGACGAAATTTGCCCATGTGGAATAGACCTGGACTCCCCCTGCCAACTTCTCATAATACGTGTCCGCCCATGTCTTCCCCAGATCCTTCCTCATCAGCGCTATGGTGAAGGCGATCTTTGCTTCATCGCTGAGTCGGGTGTTGTTGGTGGCGACGAAGTAGGAGAGGATGCATTGGATGAAGCGTCTGAGGTCCTCCGCCTTTCCGCTGAAAGGTTCGGGAGCGGGGATGTCGAGGTGAAGGGGTCGGTTGGCCGTTGACTGCTGGGATTGGTATGCTGCGAGGGCGACAGCGATGCGCTGATCGATGTCTGCTTGAGTGAATGTTGCCATAGGGACTTCAACCGGTGTGTTGGTTGGTGCGGGTGGGGCTGGTGGTAGTTCGATGTCTGGGATTTCGATGGGAATGTACTGAACTTCGGGGAGTTCGAGTGGTTGTTTGTTGGTGGGTGATTGCATGCTTTCTGCTGTTTGTGTAGGTTCGATGTCAATCCGTAGGATGGTGAATACGTCTTCTGGGTGAGCGGGTGGGTGTCTCTGGTAGTAGCTAACGAGTTCTTGATGGGCAACGACCTGTGGGTTTGGACCGGTTGCACGACACCAGGTGCCACCTCGAGGGTAGATGGGAGCCCTTTTTGTGGAGGTGATGAAGCAGCGGTCTGCTCGGTTGTACTGGAGGAGCGGTGATCCTGCGAGGGCTGGTAGTCCCAAAGGAACCGGGTTGACTGCATTGTTCAACGTAATGGTGGATGAGATGTTCGACTAGGTAAAACTAGGAACATAGCTTAGAAAGTTCGACCTTTTGATACAACGGTCTATACTCCTATATTGATGCCTGACTCGTAGACGACAAGCGAGGACTTATGGACAGTACGTCGTCCTGAAGATCGAGCGAGGAAGTCGAGAATGACCACTACCCCAAGCAAAGAGGAGCAGAGACTTGAATGAATAACCAGGTCGAACTTAGGGTTCAACTGACTAATGGTACAACTACTTATACAAGTACCGGCTACGCATGGACCACTGTATCTATGTGGTCGTGTTAGTAAAGAAGGAAACGTAGTGGTACGATACCAGGCACGAAGTGCGCACGGACCCCATTATGTAAGCTACATAATGTTCAACCTGCGGGTGAGCGCTAAGACAGGCACCAGTATGGGCACTAGTAGTACAAGAGATAGAACGGAAAGATAAATGTTTCACCTTCCATGATGGCTTCTGACGCACTTTCTAGCAATAATGTTGGCATGGTCCGGGAGGCGATTCATAGCGTGTGCTAGAGGACATATGTGTGAGAACAGAGCACAATAGCAGAAAGTTACTTACCAGATGGGGTAGCCTCAGGCATAGAAGCTGATGCCCTGTCAGTAGTTGATGTCATGCTCGAAGGCCAATTAATTGCCTCTTCATCACTGGCTGAGTTATAAAACTTGATGTCAGCGGCATCTTTCAGCTTACCATCTGCATCAAGAGCACAGCCTTGCGAAGGGTTCAGTATGCCAGCCATAAAGTTCGAGCAGACAGAGCTCGCAGTAAACTTTGCATGTTGAGGTACGATCAGCCCGATTAGCCCAATCAGGCACATGGAGGAATCGTAAAGTATACTTGGTTCTCGGTTCGGTCTGGGTCTGAACCAGGTTCAAGGTCCCATGGGTGCCTCATGAACCCTGAACCAAACCTGCTACACTGATGCCCGAACCTGAACCTGACCAAACCTGAACCTAGGTTCGGTTCGGCCGGTTTGTGGTTCAGAACCAGGTTCAGGACCAAACTTTGGAGATGCTATGAATATCATTTGAATATCCAATGAAGTGTAGGAAATAAAAGTCAAATACTTGACTTCCGAATATCAAAAGAAAGCCATAAATAAACACTGTATCTTCGGAGCCCCGGATATGCCAGTGAATATATTACATAATTGTCACTTGATTATAGACTGTGAAAGTTTGTCTGAGACCCAAAGCGAGAACAATCAACAAAGATATATCATGTTTGTCTGAGCTCTGTCAAACATGTAAGGAACGTACAGGACAGCTCACACAAAGTCTACAAGGTACTACAAACAACACCAAATACTATGGTGTGTGCTCGCCACAATCCCAAGTTCCAACATAGACTATAATATCCATCAAATGTTCTGCACCAAAACATTGTACCAATAAATACAGTAACTGAGGAATATTTGTGGACCAAGTACATTGTAAGTTATTACTGATACTCAGAGCACGGATATCCTTCCAAATATTGGCTGAAACAGATCAATCACTCGGTATATGCCATTTCTGGTTGGTGGATTGGCACAGAACTTGGTTTCTATGTCTTACACCATCTGAGCTTCAATTGTTGATTACCTATCTGAGGAAAATCTGTGCTGTAAGTACTGACAATTTTCCGCAATGTAATCAGCCCCCAAATATTCCCCGGTTATCAAGTTTATCAGTACAATGTTTGGGTGCAGAATATTCAACAAATATTGTAGGTCATATTCGAGCAACAATTATGTAGCTTATTTGCTGCCATATCCGGAGCTCGGAATATGCAGCATTTATTTATGGCTTTCTTTCGATGTTCGGAAGCCAAGTATTCAATTTTTATTTCTTACACCTCGTTGAATTTCTGCACAATATCCGGGGAGCGGACATCTTGGATTGCCCCCAGTGGACACTGCCAGGAGCGGATTCGAACTGACTTCATCGAGTCTAGCTTGCTTGTGCCCGGAATGGGCTTACATCTCGATTAGGAAGGTGCTTTCCACTTTGAGACGATGTGTCGATCAATGACCTCGTTGTGCGTGCGTCATTCTCTCCTCGCAGACTGCATATGATATCATCGCTGTCAACGGCTCTCTGTACATATATATACCGGCGTCGACGTCGAGGAATCCAGTTTCCCCCTTGCCTTTGAACCACATCCTCTTCGCTCCTTCGAACTCTAAAGCCGCTCGCACAAAACATCCGAAAATACTTCATACATAGCAATACAACTCGAGGTAAGCATCGTCATAGCTCTTGAGGTCGTATTGATAGCGTGAGCGTGGTTGTTCGTTGCGAGTCGTCTTGTCGTGAGTTTGGTCGCGGTCGTCGTTATCTGTCGTAAAAGCTCGTCGTCGTCGTCGTCTTCCGTTAGGGATTTCTTATCTTCATCATTGACTGTCGTGAGTCGATCGTATTAGTAGACGCTTGTCGTGTGCTCGCTCGCTCTTGTCGTCATCTGTCGCGAATCGGTCGCGTTCGTAGACGTCTGTCGTGTACTAGGTTGCTCTCGTCGTCGTCTGTAGCGATCGCGGTCGCGTTCACTGTCGTCTGTCGCAGGTCTAGTCGCCGTCGTTGTCGTCTGCAGAAGGTTTGGACTCGGGCATCGAGGACCTGGTCGTCTTTGTCGTCGAGCGCACAAGTGTTTGGTCGTCTTCTGTTTAGTATCGACGCGCATATATTCAGATCAACGCGGCCATTTTACTTGTTTTATATTATTATAGCTAGTTGTCAAGTTATTGTACCCTTCGACCATCTCCGGACGTCACTGCAACGCATCGCTCCCACATCGGCGGTAATTTGCGATAAGGCTTGGACTCCAAGCGCCTGATTGGAACTTCTGCAGAACTCACTACTGAAGCTGTTCAATAGGTTCGGTCGGAGTTCGAGTTCGGTTGAGAATAGTTTTAACGGTTCGCGTCCAGATGAGGGGCATGAATACAAACCCTTGAGATGCGAAGGCCAAGAGTGTACCTATTGCGGCAGTCGAATTGGCTACTGACAATATTGCAACACATTCTGAGAGGTACTAACATGCAGAGCAAGGTGTATTACCTTCCTCAACGAGACTTCTCCAATAGGCTGCTGAAGATGCTACGTAGCATGGTATTCTTGACTGGTTTGTGCATGGCTTCCAGTTACGTTATCTTATATATGTACATTGTTTAAAGTATCGGAGCCCTTGATGTTGTATGCAATGAGAAAAGCAAAATGCTCAGACCGCCAGCGCATGCCAGAGACAGTAATACAAGGCGCTATCTAGGATCTGCCTAATGATATCAACTTAATGTTATGGTCTCAGTCGGGCGATATTTCTACACGGCTGTTGCCTACTACTTCGCTATGTCAGCCGAAGAATGAACTTCCTTGAGAACGTGCTAATCACACCCACTTGCCAGCAGTCAGCAGATGCACAACAATCGAGGTTACGACTTACGACTGAATAAACCTGAGGATCTTTGTCCCCATGCGCTCTGCTTGGTTTGTACGGCACCATAGGAATGGAGACCGGTTGGGGACCCGCAGCAGGACGGTAATGATAGTGAGTGGGATGTCCAATACTCTCGCTCTGGCGGGATGCCAACTGAGACTGGTCCTGGGCAAAGTTGAGCTTCATCGAACTGTTTGGGCTAACGACGACAGGACTTTGAGCCACCGCTACACCCAAGGCCATTCGAAGGATGATAAGATGTGGCGCGGTGAACTGAACGACGTTCAAAAAACCTGATGAGAAACTGCGGCAGAATCATTGAACTGACAACATACCGAGGCAGCACAGAACAGAGCTGAGAAAGGATATTGCAGCACTGAGTTCACTGCATATAATGGTATGTATATCAAGCCGCAGATGGTGTACAATGCAGCAGATTCGGTCACGACGCTGACCGCAAAGGTGTAGCGACTGCTGGAGGCAGAGAAGCCTCCAAATAAGTTGCGTCGTCGATAGAGCAGGCGGCCTGCGATGAGAAGTGTCGCCAGGACGTTGAGCGCTACGGATAGTGACCAAAACGCTGTGCCAAAATGCACCACTGCATCTCCGCCATATTTGGTTCCTGGCCGCGCCGTAGAGATCAATGTGCTAAGTCCACATGCTGAGGCGTATATTGAGTACGACGAGAAAGGGTGACGTACTGCTACTCACCCACGTCCGCTAGATAGACTGTGACTAAGACAGACAGTACCGAAAGACTACCCTCCCAGACAGTGTAAGCGCGCCAGATCTGCGAGCTTTGCGTTAGATAGGAGAACGAGGTTGTATACAGCCTTACTGACAATCAAGCTATCAGCCAACCAGATATTAACAACGATGGCCACATTCTTTGCCTCAGCCAAGGGGGAAGACATTAGCAGAGCGACTGCAGCAGAATCTCCTGCGTCTTGCACGAACTCTTGTTCGCTCCACTGTGACCCACTGATGAAGTAGATAGTAGTGGCGATGGACATGGCGAATGTATATGTGATCAGGACGTAATGGTATTTCCCTTCTCTCCGTCCTGGTCCCAGGAGGAAGTATGTGCATATTGCGGCCAGTAGAATGTTTATTCCTGCACTAAGGATCAGCACACACCCGTATAACAGAATGGCGTACGTACCGTAAGTGATGGCTGCCACATAAAGAGCAGCGAAACTCAAGCGTGGCACTGTGAGAGAAGAAGCCATGACACAGCGGGTGAGCTCTGCTGCAATGTCCACCGGCTACATTTACTTTATATCTGCATCAAGACCGGGATCCCAGGAACGATTGCGTGATGCAAAGGTGATACATCAGTTTGTTACAGATCATCATGATTATGGCTGTCACATGAAATCGATAGTCGGGATGGAGTGCCACTCACTCGTAGGGGTGATAATGGGGGCAGCCTATGTGCTGTTGATGTATGTAATCAATACAGCGCGAATTCAAAAAAGGAGGAGATACTGTCTCATAAAGAGCTTGAAGTGATGACCATTGCCAGCGCGACAACAGTTGCACAGCTCCTTCATCAGGGCGTTTCTTTTTCTCCGATGCCCTCCACCCAATACGGTGAAAGATACAACACCCAGGCTCAATGTCCTGCAGAACGTCACCGTAAGGCGAAACGTCCATAAGCTGGCAGAAGCTTCGCTTTGCCATGCCCTAATGTAGAATTGCACACATATGGCTTCGGAGGTTGGCCTTCGGTATGCACATCCTCTGGGAGGCTAAGTGGGACGATGTCCTCTCCTGCCTCTGTCTTGAATTGGCCTGATGCGTATTCTGCTCTACACTGCAGCCATGATCCCTGTCCAAGAGAACTCGGGTGCTATCATCGACGCACTGGAGATAATCACCGCAGCGCCTGTGCATTTCCACAATATTGGTTTTGCAGCTCGATAGCCAGATGCATAGACAAGCTGCGTTGCTGGATATGTCAGGACTATTTCGATTCATCCTTGGTTTGACAGGAAGTACGAGAAACAAGGCAGCAGCGTGGAACAAGTAGGCCGCTGCCATCCACGCTAGCCCTTGAATCAGGTCAACCTCTTGCTCGGACCACAGGATGTCAAATACGCGCACCTGTCACCTAACATACACGGGGGTTACAATTGTAGCAATACCTATTACAGGAGTGTCAGTTCCACTCACAGTGGGTCCTTGTTCTGAGGCCCGAAGTCTCGTTCCCATTGCCGGCGGAACACGATGGAGAAGCTATGCATATGCGGTAAGCAGTATTTGTCATCTATGGATCTTCCATTTCTATGATGCAGATCCACACCAGATGTCGGAGCATCGCCACTGGGATCGAAAGTGGAAATAAAGTGTCGCGTCATCGCCCTTCCAGCGGCACACGCATTGTGGCGTCTTGTTCTGATCATGCTATCCGAATTGTGGACTGTCATTCTCAAATCGGAAGCCCCACCGACAGAACAACACTACCATCCTCCAGAACCACAGCCGAGGACCGACCTGCCAAGAAAGACACATCATCGCTGCCATTCCCACTCGCGGACTATGCCGCGTTGACCTCGGGAAGGCCGTGCTCCTCGGTCATCTCGGCACCATTTTTCTCGAGCCCCCAGGAGTCGTCCACGACACTCTGCAGCGGGAGCTCCTTCATCAGCAGGGAGCTCAAGAACCCGAGCCCCGCTACCGCTACCATCACTTCCCAGAGGACGTCCAGCGACTGTGCAAACGCGGCGCGGACCTCGTCTTTCAGCGGCTCGGGGAGCGTCGGGATCTGTGGGATCACCGCATACGCAATTTCGACGCCCTGAATATCGTTCAGGAAGGACTGTGGAAGACGAATGCGTAGCTGGTTCTGCAGCACCGTCGAGCCGATCGTGATGCCCCATGCCTGATATATGCGAACACATGAGCCTGAGCGGGAAACCAGACAGCGATGTAGAGCAACGTGTGCCGGACTTACCTGGAAGAACGACCGGACGAAAATGAAGAAAGAGAGCGCGCTCGCGTTGTCGGTCACGGACAGCGGGGCAAGGATGGGGAAAGTAGTCGCCGTGAACTATGGACCAATTCAATAAGCGCATGTCCGTGCGGTACGATGTGCACAGGAAGACGCGGCCGCACGCACCAGTAGACCAAACCCGATGCCTGCAATAATCTGGAAGCCAGCCCAGTTCCGGACGGCACTGTTCTCGTGCAGCGTACTTTGAAGCCCCATACCGACGACAACGAAGCACCACGCGATGACATTCTGCGGCCTGTATTTGTTCGTGGCGGTGGCTGTTGCGCCTGCCACAATTGCAAACGGTGCGATCGAGAAACTGTACGGTAGCATGTCAACGCCGCTGCGTAAGGGAGACGCGTCTTTACATCCTTGGAAGTAGACGGGCAAGTAGACTGTATGCGCCGTGTGTAAGCACCCCTCGTGACTGTTAATACCAAATGATATACGCACACAACGCCGCCGAAATTACGAGGCCCTGAAGTGCTGTTCCCAGGTAACTGTATAGTATAGCTGTTCGAATGTCAAGTTGAGCTCAAAGATTTTGAAGACATACCCGCTGACTGTGGTGCGGTTGTTGAGCACTCGCCACGGGACGGTTGGCTCCATCGGCACCAGAGCTTCATAAATCATGAAACAGATGATTCCCACAAAACCCAGAATAAGAGGAACGAGGACTCGGGCTGAAGACCAAGGGTATTGAACACCGCCCCAGGTAAGGCCAAGTAGAGCTGCTGTACTGCTTCCCATGATGATAATGTTTCCTCTGGTTACGGGCGATATATATCTGTCAGAGCTATCCTAGATACGTGGATCCTGGAGCGAATGACGCACATCAGGTCGATTCTCCGCATCTTCTGCCGGAATGTCGAACGTGGCGTCTTCAGCTTCAGGAAGAATATGCAGAGGAACATGGAGATGCCCGTCAGTGGCAGGTTCAAGTCTGATATGCTGGGGTCAGTTTACGTGAAACAGACAATTGGACTCGCAACGCACAGAACAGGCCACGCCATGAGAAATCGCGTCGTTGTGCGAACGCGCCACCCTGAATGAGAAGTGAGCATCTCACATACACTTGGGGCGGCTGTGCGCACTTACCACAATGGGCCCCATGATAGACGCAATGGACCAAATGAGTCCGATCATTCCCTGGTACGCACCGCGTTCGCTCAGTGGTACCAGATCAGACAGAATGATCTCTGTCAGTGCCAAGATACCACCGGACCCAATGCCTTGCACAGCTGGCAGAGTAGCAAGCAGATACGGTTAATGTACTGGGCTATGTTTAGACGGCGAGTACTTACTGCGGCCACCAATGAGCATGGCCATGCTCTGTGCCGCGCCACACAATGCGCTACCGAGGGCAAAAATCACAAGACTAAGAAGCAGCATGGGTCGACGACCAAAGATATTCGCAAGGTGACCGGATAGCGGGAGGAACGCTGTGCCCGCGAGGGTGTACGCAGATCCAACCCAAACAAATTGGTCACCATGGAAGTGGTTCACTATGGTCGGAAGAGCAGTGGCAACCGCACCCTGTATACCTCGACTGTCAACAAGGACAGGATTACAGGTACTTTTTGTGCATACCGTGTCCAGTGCCGCGAGGAACGTTGCAATCATGATGGAGAGCATTGACATCCAGAACGACGCCGATTTGGGTGGAGGGTCCGACGCTTGCGCTCCTGGCCGCTGCGCAACTGCAGAGTCGGACGCCGTCGGCTTGACATGGTCCGCCATTGTGGTTTGTCAAACGAGGGGGGATGGATGGGAGACGAGGGAGTGGTCGTGTTGGTCACAGGCCTCAGGTAGACCCATTCGCCCGACGCATGTTCTCTGTCGCGCGATCGGCCACAGACCATTGGGGCACAGAGCGACTTTTCGGTTATGGCAGGCCCGCTGCTCGTTCCTCTGCAAAACAACCTGCCAGCGATCTGATCCTCTACTCGTCTTAACGCCGCAGTACCGATTTGGTCCGTCCAAGGACGCTGGAAGTGGATTCCCACAATGGGCTACCGTTCCGAGAAGCAAAGTGCCGCCGTAAGGCGCTGCTGTCGGCGCCAACATTGTTCGGATAGGATATGAGGTTCTGTCTAGGATTGGAAATGCACATACTCAGCGGAACCGCTATCCATGACGATGCCGTGAACACAGGTCTCGCCATCCCTCGCCGGCCACGGTTTCCGGGGGCGATACAGGACCTATGTACAGCAAAAAGACATGTCAAAAGGTCACCCTTCCGCGGTCGATCTCGTGCCTTCGTGAATACTATCATCTGCGCCATTGGATTCCCAAAGGGGTAAGCGCCTCAGGGCTGTGGCGCGTCAGCTTCCGTCAGATGCCACCACGCTGACGACACTATCGCCCCAGGAATGGTAAACAGGTTCGCAGTCAGCTGCGAGGACTGCCCCTTCGACTACAGGGACGGCTAGGTGATTATTGGGTATTAGGCATCTTTAGTTGGGTCCAGAGCACCCAGGGAGCCCGGTACTGCAATTCGATTACGCCCTTGGCTCACAAATTCTCCACCATTGCAAGCGCTCAGGTAGCGTGGAGGTGCTCCCGAGCAGCACACTGTAATGCTTCCGGACGCGTTTCTGACCGACTATCAGATAGCCAATACGGCAGTGACATTGGTGTGCCGCTGTGTCGTGAAAAAAGGTCATGACCACATATATGCCTTATCGCGATGCACCTTTAGTCATGCGGTAGTTCTCCTCCGCAAGCCGGTACACCGCCGTCCAATCCCGACACAGCCGCGGGACCTCTGCGTTCACGCTGCGCACGCCCAAGATGGGGATGACCGGCTCAAGCGTCGGGTTCGCGTCGCACAGAATGGTCTGGCGCAAATAGTTGAGGCAGTGGTGCACGTGCTCGGTGGACTGCCGGGTGTTCATGGCTTCGCGGAGGCGTGCTAGGCAGTGCAGCTGGTGGAACATCGCGAGGCCGAGTGGACGCTGCGACTCGCCGAGGCGGAGGAACCCGCCCCCGGCAGGGAATATGGACTCCCATTCGGCGGCGGCGTCTGCGGTGTATATGCGATAGTGCACCGTGTTTTCAGGAGTGAGGGCGACAGTCTCCAGCTCGAGGGGATAGTGGGCGGGGTGGTCGTCTCCCAGGAAGGCTGCGCTTGCCAACGCGATCAGCACCGTGCTATGCCTCTAAGCAGAAATGGCTCACTATACTCTGAGAGGCCCTTATGCTGTGCATGGCGCGAGTTGAGTACAGCAACGAATACGCTGCTCAGGCTCGTGAGGAGGCAAAACGTCCCCACTACGATGAGCGCGATGTTGGGAGACATAAACAATGAGGCGCTGTAGGCAACCGCGTCAACAACGTTGGTCTTGGCAGAAGTCTTTGGAGACCTTAATATGGTTGCGCTTGTTGCAGTATTGAGCTATCGGAAAGCCTTCGACAGGAAGAGTGAAACCAGCCTCGAGGCGGACACGCGATCGGGGGACAGGGCACGCAGCACAAGACATATTCTGGGCGCTGTGTGCGGCCGGGACTTGCGGAGCCTGTTATCTATACGAATACAAGATTGGAAGGAGCTTGTGTGGCGCGAACCCTGAGTATAAAACTAGGGACTCGACAGGCGTTCAGATCACTCAGCTTCATACGACCTGCACGCGGCAGCCAACCTACAACATGCGCACTATCTTCATTGCCCTCTACGCAACCATCGCGGCTGCATCAGCCGCGCTGGTGGTCGGTGCTCCCGTTGAACCCAGTAGGTCTTCGCCCACATCTGCGAACTTGCCCTCACTGATACGAAAAACGGCATTTGCAGCTGCAGACGCAGAATTTGTGGACGACGGTGGATGGTTTGTCGCAAGTCCCGAACTTCTCTCTCCAGGAGAGTAAGGTGAGCGGTCTCCGAGACGCCCGTACACCGCAAGCGGCTGATGAGTCCTGTATTTACCGTTGCCAGCACATGTAGTGCGCTGGAATTTGTGCTTGATCCTGTTTACGTGCTTGGTGTATTCCTAGGACTGTGTAAATTTGATGATCGGAAGGAAAAGCATGCAGACTTACCCGTCTACTGGCGGATGAAGGGTCTGATGTGCGGTCGAAGGAGTTGAGCAGAGAGACAGCGCATCAATGCCAGATCGTGATCGGGCAACATGGGTAACACCCTGATTTAGAGGAGATCTGAGATTGATCGCGAATGGTTGAACATGGGTGTCCATCAACATGTGTCACGACGGGCGAGCTTCTTTCATAGCGCATCGGATGCCAGGCGGTGACCTCGGGCTGCCCTGGAGTCTGGTTACGAGACTACGCTGCAATGCACCGGGGACGATGCCGTGTCTTCCAGGCGGCTATAAGGCTGGGCCCCAGACCCCATGATCACCAGTCGCCGCCGCTATGGTCGCGCTCTCGTCCGTCTTCGCTGCCCTCACGTCCATCGCCGCCGGCCTGTACTTCACTGGTCGCTGGCCTGGCGCTGGCCCCGCCCTCCAGGCCGCCGACGACGTCGAGCGCTTCAGCTGCCGCCCCTTCCTCCCCAAGCTCTTCGTCGACACCCCGCCGCCCGCCGACCACCCGCTCATCAGGAGAGCAGCCGAGCGTGCGGGCGACTTCTTCTCCACGCGGTTCGCCCAGGGCGACATAGACAGCCTCTCGATCGCCGTGGTCACGTCCGACGGCCCTGTGTTCGAGCAGAACTACGGCGTCATCCGGGGAAACGAGTCCGCCACTTCCCCGCTCACCACCAGCCATGCCTCCTACCGCGTCGCATCCGTGGCAAAGCTGTTTGCCGTGCTGGAGGGTCATATCCTGGCAGAGCGGGGCGTTCTCTCGTGGTGCGTCCGCAATCACTGACATGTCGTGTACGCCGAATCTCAATTCGCAGGGCAGGGACGACCCCGTGGAGAAGTTCTTCCCGGACTTCAAGTATCGCCTGGACGGCGTCAAACCGACAAATAAAGACGCCACAGGAGAGAACATGGCCGTCACTCTCTTCGACCTCGCGAGCCATATGTCCGGCATGGGCAGGGACTGGCCTCCGGGCACTGTCCACAACTGGCCAAAGGACATGATGGGCGGAGGCCCGCCCCCCACGAACGGCCTACCGTTCCCTGACCATGCGTCCCTGTTCCGCGCAATCGAAAGGTACCGGCTCACCTCACCACCGTGGTCGTATCCCGCGTATTCCAACACCGCTACTGGTCTGCTCGGCATTGCGCTCGTCGCTGCCAACCGCGCTGCGAGCAAGCACCCGGAGCAGGAGCCAGCCGAATATGCGGAGCTCCTGCAGAGAGACATCTTCGGCCCTCTTGGCATGAACGGCAGCCACTTCCTGACGACGGACGCGAACAAACACCAGGTGGTCGTGCCTTCACTTGGGCCAGAGGTCGCGGTATGTCACGACACCACAGGACTCAGATTGCTAGCTCACCACGCTGTCAGGACCAAGACTTCCTCGATGCCATGAATCCAGCGGGAGGCCAGTTCTCGTCCCTGTCTGACTGCATCAAGATCACGCGGGGACTGCTGAATCCTGTGTCGCCCGAGAGCCTGATCTCACGGCGCTCCATGGACCGGTGGCTGCAGCCCGTGCACTCATTCGACGAGGATGACTGGACCGAGATCGGCTTCATTTGGGAGATCATTAAGGCGCGAGACTCGAATGGCCGGCCCCGTAAGATTTATTGGAAGCGTGCGTGCTCGCTTTTCTGGAAGCATTCGCGCACGGTTGCTGAGCTTCTCTGTGTGTAGTCGGGGCCATGGCGGGGTACCATGCGGCGATCGCGATACACCCGGGTGCCTCGTATGGGGTCGTGGTGCTTCTTGGAGGACACTACCCGGATGCTGCCAGACTCGCTTACGACGCCTTCGAGCTGTTCCAGCCGGCCATGGACGAGGTGCTTGCCGAGTACTCCCAGGATCTCTATGCGGGATTCTGGTCGAGCGAGGATGGGCTCAGCAATGCGACGATCGCCGTGGAGAAAGGAACACTGTACATGGAGCGCATGTTCCTCAACGACACAGACATCCTCCCAAAGTTCTACGCGCCCGGCCGCCTTCCCTTGCGCTCGTCGGAGCGGCGCGATGAGTTCAGGTGAGCCCGTCATGAGCATGCATCCGCACGCATGCCTCCCATTCACGGACACGATGTTCAGGCTGGACACGGGGATCCCGGGGTACAACGGGAAGGTCCACATGGGGTGCTACCCGTACTGGAACGGGCAGGATCTCTGGGGCCTGCGCAACGACGCGCCGCTTAACCTGCTCTACTTTGACGGCGCTGGCAGTGCGCGCGCCATGCACGTTCCGTCAGCCGACGTCGTCATGCGCCGCTGATGCGCTAATGCGCACTGCTTGGTTCTGTGGGAAGGTGTCCCGGCTGTCGCTGTGCGTGTGATGGTTTTCACGAGATGGCGCACGCCCTATACGTACGCGGATTCATGCTGTAGGCGGGACTTGTTGTCGGCGCACGACGTACAATTCATTGGTGCCAAACGTTGTGGGAGGGATAGTTACAGAGTCGTCCGGAGATGGTCGAAGGAAAGATAGGAGATCGGCTAGCTGTAATATAAAACCATGATTGAATGGCCGCGTTGATCTGACGAAAGCGACCGCGCTCGAAACAAAGAAGCGAGACGAATAGAGTCTGATCTCAACCCTATACGCGCATATACCGAGCAACTCGGGCTACGCTGATGTCGAAAACTTAGCCCAGTGATCGACGACATAATAGACTACCGCCCCGCGACACGACAACGAGGATAGCGAACACACGACGCGACGACGACACCACAGAATCATCCCGAACGGACTACGAACCGACGCGACAGACTAGACGACAGCGAACGCGCGACGCGGCGACTCACGATACTGTGTTCCACGACAACGAGCTCTCGACGCGACGACCCGATACGACTCAAACAATCCTTCAACCAATGAGGAGTCTATCCAGAGACCAGCAAAGGCCCATTGTTCAGCGAGAAGAGACTAAATGAGGGACTTACCAAGTTGACTCTACGATGATTTGTATGGTTGCGATTTTACGCGAGGAGAAGGGAGCAAGATGGAGGTTTGAGTGCAAGGGGGAAACTAGATTTCTCGACGTCAACGCCGATTTATATATGTACAGAGAGATCGTGACAGCTATGATATCATATGCGACTTGCGAGGAGAGAATGACGCACGACGAGGCCGTTGATCGACACATCGTCCCAAAATAGCAAACCCCTTCCAAATCGAGATGGAAGTAGTCTAGTTTCCAACGCGTCGCCTTACCGTGAGGTCGGCTTTTGAAGCAGCGCTCTAAATATGAGTGCAAGGAAGTGGCGGAGGACCAATATCCTGATTGCACCTGCCGTGCGGCGCGTATGAGTTTGCGTACTTGCTCTTGAGTATCTCGCCTCTTAGTCGCCGCGCTATCGTTCATAAAACGACTGTTAAAGTTCGTCCTAGACCCGAAGCGAGAACGATCAACGAAGATATATCGCGTTTGTCTGAGCTCTGTCAAACGCGTAAGGAATGTACAGGACGGCTCGCGCAAAAGTCTGCGAGGTACTACAAACAATGCCAAATACGGTGGCATGCGCTCGCCACAATCTCAAGTTCCAACAACGACAACCCTTGCTGTGAACACCTCAGACCTAGGCATATACCTCTCGAGCACCCTCGCGCTGCCGGTCATTCGGGTGATGGGAACACGGCAATCGGCCATCGATACCGACCTTACCGTAAGACAGTGTGCTGGAATTGTCTATCAGTCTGCTCTTAGGAGACTAGATGGAAGCCCATCTAGGGCATAAGCAAGCTAGATTCAATGAAGTCAGCTCGAGTCCACTCCTGGAAATATCTCAGCGTCCCGAGGATGTTACCCAGCGCGTCATATTTACTTGCGCACTCTGCCGCCCTCAGGAGCGTGACGACACCGGTGTCCCCGTTCAGCCTACACCAGTCGCTTCGTCTCGCCTTCAACACCATTTTCGCAAGCCCGAGAGTCGAAGAGGGATATCTGTACGTACTTTCTGCTTTATGTTCGAGGACAATGAACGAACTCGAGAAAATAGATACAAGAAGAAGGAAAGAAGGAACACATCTGCTGACGTTCTTCCGGATTCGACGTGTTTCCCTCCACCACAACATACGCGTGAACGGTGACCAATCTGGCCTTGGGATGTCGGTGTGTGTGCCCTTTCTCTCAACTTGGTAGTTGGCAATCACCGAGTGCCCGTCCATATGTGCCTCGCCTTGGGATGCGAGGCGGCCTCACTCGCAATCGTATGTACCTCACAACCGGTGCTCCCAACCGCGATACTGTCATTGCTCGCGGGAGCGGTAATTACGGTCTGAAAGGAAAGATGACATATATACTATCCGTGCGTGCTGCTTTCTTTGACCTCCGGTATATCATCAGACCTGCGGTGTGCGCTCGTCAGATGATCTGAACGCGAGACCCGTTGCATCGAGCATATGCCGGTGCTGCCACACATAGATCTCAACAAGGAGTGTCCAACGACGCGCGCTGTCGATATAGGCGCTTGTGGGTGTTCGTATGCCCCCTTTTTTCTTTGGAAATGACTGCCAAAAATGACACGCGGAGGTCTTCGGAGTTGGTGGCGGGACTGAGCCTTCGGACATCTCGGTGTCCGTGGGGAATGCAGATATGGATTAACCCTTTTCTGATTAATTTCCCTCCGCGTCTGTACGCGCTTGCGAGGAGGCGTCCATCGACGTCCCTATTATGGCCAATGGGCCTTGCGATCTTGATGTTCTGTTGCCCATCGATGTTTGTGGCAACTAACCTCCCGACCTAGGCCTCCAGGTTGGGTTCGTCATATACCCCGCAGGAAGCTTGCGTATTCGCACGGGGGCACTGTGCATTCTGCTCGGTCTGATGCCGCTCGGGCTCCAGAGCGGATAGACAGGTGTTCGTTTTGGGGACTTAGGCGCTCCTATATCTGCTTGAACGCCAGGAAATTGGTGTGCGCCTTCGTTCCAGACCACCCTGAGGCGTGAGCGTGACCGCCAAAGCACCGTCCTCTGCCGAACACCATGTCGTCTGCAATCGACGGCACTCGCAATAGCTACGCCGCAGCACTCGTGTCCAGCATCTTGTATGGTGAGTCGTTCGCACAGGTGACCAACCGACGTTCACCCCGCCGTCTAGGCTTTTATCTTCTCCTGGCCATCCAGTGCATATATGGCCTCCTCACAAAGCACGGCAGTACAAGCGGCCGGAATGTCGCTCTCGGCTATGCCGTCCTCCTCTTCATAGTCCAGACAGTCTACTACGCCGCAGGCTGTAGATGGAGTGCTATCGAATTTGTTGATGCCTCCATCGACCCCGCTGTCTTTGCCAGTGAACTGTCGGGAAATCTATCACTCCTCAAGGATACCATGTATGTCATCAATATCTGGGTCGCGGACAGCTTCCTCGTGAGCGTGACCTTCGTCCATTCCGTCAATCGTACATAATTGGCTGATGCCCGTGTTCAGCTATACAGGGTCTACATCATTTGGAGCCTCCATTACGTGTCCCTCCTGCCGTTCGCTCTGTACCTCGCATCTCTGGGTGAGTTTCTGTCGATGTCAAACATCGTCGTGCCATTGACGTCGCATCGGCGCAGCTACGGGCATCGGCCTCCTTGTCGAGACCGGCAAGCCGGGTGCGGTGTTTGGCCAAGCATCCATCATCAACTTCGGCACTCCATTCTGGTCGCTGTCTGTTGCAACCAACGTGTGCGCGACGGTGCTCATCGTCTCCCGCCTGCTGTACCACCATGGCGCCCTCCGCCGCTCAACGACACGCAACCCAGCCCTGAGCGGGACGTCACCCGCCGTAATCATGTTTGTCGAGTCTGCGGCGCTGTACGCCGTGTGCGGCATCATCTACATCCCGCTCTTTGCCGTCGACACCCCGGTCCAGTATCCGTTCTCAGCACTGCTGGGCGGCGTGGTCGTACGTCTCATACCGTCTATTTGGGTTGGTAGGCAGCGCTGATGGTGCAGCTGTCAGAGCATCGCGCCCACACTAATCATGGCGCGGGTGGCCAAGGGCACGGCGCTGACGAAGGAGTGGAGCGACATTCCGCTGGTCGACATGCCGCCTGTGGCGCAGCCTGCCCCGTCGCAGTCGACGGAAACGATCCCGGTGAGTGGGTCGAATATGGAACCTAACCGTGTGCTGATGCAGCTTGTGTAGAAATACAAAATTGCCTGATATGAGGTGGATGCAGCGAGCAATGACTTGTGGACGCAGGATGACGCCTCATGGATTGTGACGACTACCACATGACTCTGTATCTTCACGGCACTGACAAATATCATGATGCGTGCTTTCTGTAGAGCCGCCCCGTCTCTGAGTTCCAGTAGAATTGTGTAGTTATTGTTGGAGATTACAGTGGATACTTACGGTAGTAGATCACATGACCGCGTACGGTACTTACGACTCGTTTGCTGGCTACGAGCCGGGTCAAACACGATCTATGCTATCGTCTTGAGTCTCTATCTCTGCCAGAAATCCAACAGTTCACATATTGGCGCGTTGAAAGGCCCTCGTATATACGACTGCGCTTGGCTACCCCTATCACACTTATCCGAGACGGCGCGACTATCTAAGGCATCTCCGCCCAATTAAACGTGTATACCAAAACGCGGCAAACAATCTCGACAAAACTGCAGGGCACCTGTGATTTATGCGCTCCGCTCAATGCACCCTATTGACTCATACTGATCCAACCTGAACCCAGTTTGAGCTAGCGAATTTGCGGATGCAGCTGGCGAGGAACGCGTCTGCCATGAGTCTCGTGCGCTCTCACAACGGTCAATGCGCCACGTACTCATCGTTGTTACCCCCTCAATGGAGTAGTGGATGTGACATACTTTCTGTGGGCAAACCCACTGGAAGAACATTCGCGAACGGGAGCGACAGAAGAACGGCCGAGAGGTGCTTTCGACTCCGGGAGAAAAACGAAGGGTGTCGATGTACACTTTGTCGGCGAGCCTGCCTTTCTCAGGGAGCATCCATATCTCGACGTCGCCATCCTGTACGGCATCAGGGGGCGATGGCGGCCGCTCAACGTTCTTTACGCTCATAGTGCAATTCTCGAGTCCGTAGTCCGGCACATAGAATGTGGCGTGCGCGGATATCTGGGCGGTATAGCTTAGAATTGGCGCAGTCCTGAAGCCACATATTCAGCGCACCTTCCCTCCAAATGCGATAGACGTCTTGTCGTCCGGGGCGTGCACCGGTGTCATCTGCTGCACGTCGTCGTCGTGGAACGTCGCAAAGGACTGTGGAAACGTTGTGCGGCTGCGACACCCTCTTGCGGGATCGCGCTGGAGGGACTCCAGGCCCATGTACACGCTCGGCGTCTTGACCGGGCTCGAGAACGTGTGGTAGGCGTGGGCCGCGGAGAGGAGCGAGACATTCACAACGGATGCTAGGACGGATATGCATGATGCGAAGAGGAAGAACGTCCAGCCCCAGTGCTGCTGGCGTGCGGCCGCAGTTTCGACACCGGAGAGCGGATACTCAGAGAGGGAACCCGCTCTCTCGGGGCTGTCGTCCCCCTGCAGCGCAATGTAGGTGTGTTCCCGGGAGCGTACCATGGACGTCTGCGCGCTCGTGAGGCGTGTGTTCAACAACTATCAATGAGTACAAAACGCCGTGCGGATGTCACCGCCGTACAATCTGTTCCCCGGCGGCAAGCATAGGTTATCTGGAGGATATATATGGATAAAGAAAGGTGCGCTGATAAAACGTACATGGCGACACACTGGGCACATGTTCAGGAAATGGACATCATGCCAGGTGGGCACCGCCAGTCCTGTGGCGGGTCACGCATGCGGAAGCGCTTGGCCCTACCATGGTCTGCATCTCCAGATCGCATCGAGCGGTACCGGTCTGTGGCGCTTAGGTGAGGCAATTATGTATGCGGTCCGTGCATAGCAACGGGTGCTTCACCTGATATTTCGAACGATGGGGGTGTCGCTCGGAAATGCAATCCGATATGCAAGATCCGGCTCGTGTCTGTGTACTTCGCTTCCCTGCGACCGACCGAATAAGCCATGCGGATAGTGAGACTATCAGACCAATACCGATGAGGGCCGTCCTTTTGATGATCTATAGGTTATCAGTTCACTTACTGGGAACCGAACACCCGGTGCGATGTCTGGAAGTCATTAGGTGAATGCCTGAATGGGACTCTGACTCCTGGTACTAGGAGAACTGCAGCATTCTGCTTCATCGCGTCCGCGAGCTAGTCGTCCCTGATGCAGATATCCCGTCTCAGCGACCGTCACTGGACTTATGCTGCTGTGACCCTCCTGGCAATAGTGTCCTTCCTGAACTTGCACTATATCGTTAGCAGATGGAGTCTTAGTGTCACACAGGATACGAACCGCTATTGTATGTATGCAAGCACTGCATGCCATTCACAAGGCTAACGTCCTTCTCGTTCTTTCTGCACTTATGCAGCCTATGTGGAGTTTGACTTTCCTCAGTCATTAATGCCATTGTCGGAGCATCCGTACAACGCAAGGCTGACCATCGAGGATACCGTACACTATCAGTACAACGACACCGAGGAATGGCAGTCCATATTTCCTCCGGGAGGTGGATTTGTCCGTCTGGGACCCGAGCATCGTATGTTCGGCATCTCGATGTTCCACCAGTTGCATTGTCTGGACAAGATGCGCCGTGCTATATTGAAGGAGCCGCCTACCGCTTGGGAAAAGTCGCACACGCAGCACTGCCTGAATTATGTTCGGCAGATGATACTGTGCGCGTCTAATTTGCGTCTTGAGGATGTGAAGGAATCACCAAGGGGAATCAAAGCTGATGGGCTGGGATTGGAGCATGAATGCAGGGATTGGAGTCTGCCGTATGTCATGGCCACAGAAAACCATCGTGATTGGCCGGAATGGTTGTATGGACAATAGGCCTGTATGAACAAAGCGAGTTCAGGACTCGCGTATAGCTATTACATCGCCTTGTTCTTCGGTGATCTGTCGGCGGAAGGTTGGCGGAGGCTGTCTAACCCAAATCGCCAATGGGCCCGAAGCGTGCGGGCATAATGGAGATGCCACCAGAAACAAACATATATCAACAGCCATCCACAGGAATAACAGTGACATATCTAGGGCGATATTACTGCTCGTTAGCTTCCTGTGCCTTCCTCCAGCAGGCAAGGAACACTCATCAAGCGTACTCTTCCAAGTAGAACCGCCACAGTGGCGGCTTGGATCTTCTAGCGCACGTATGGATTGTTACGGCACTTGACACGACGGACCCCTGTCACCCGTTCGTAACTGGGCGATCTTCGAGCGGCTATCTAGTAAGTATACATTCAGTTACGACGGCTGTCAGATGTGAGCACATCCGATTGCTCCTACTTGGTAATGTATGTACGTTGCTCTGGAAACTGTGGGTCTTTACTATCCGCGCGGTCTGATACGTCTAGAACGCGCATGATAGCAACAATAAGACGTCAATCTAATTCCCGTCAATAATTCACGAACAAGCCGGACATGGGTTCACGGGAGCTGCCAGCACCAGGAATTTCAAAATACTACATCCAGATTCAAATGTTGCGTATTCAAGCTTGTTGTTTTGGTATTTCCAGGCGGCTGATGGCAACGCGCGCATGTTCAGCCATTTGGGCGATATACGCCACTCGATAAAGTGATGTGACGTGCATCGCGGGCGGCACTCATAAGCCTTAAAGTGTGTGTTCAGTAAAGCGCCAAGTGTCCGTGCCCTTCTCGCCGAGAGTTTAAGATGTCCTCTGCTCTCACCATTTCACGTATGAGCTTTGGCGCAGCCAATGTCGGCTGTGTGATGTACGGTATGGGATATACTTGCGTCTACTGTGAGCCTTCTCGATTCAACCCCATCCCCGCAGGATTGTATGTGCTTCTCGCAAGCATCTGTTTGTACTTCCTCCTCGGACCGGGTAGGAAGTCGGGGCGCCCACATATCGTCATGATCGTTTATACGGTTACGATGTTCGTGACCACCACCATCTACTTTGTTGCAGCAGCAGCGTGGAGTGAAATAGAATTCGTGGAGACGCCGCTTCGCTCAGGTGTCTTCGCTGTGCAGCTCTCAGATCGTTTAGCGGTCTTGAAGGACACTACATCTGTAGTTAACATTTGGCTGGCCGATAGCTTAATAGTATGGCCCACTCCGCTTTATGGTAGTGCCTCAGAACATTGATGAGCATTGCTCTAGCTGTATCGTGTTTACGTCATATGGGGAAGCAGCCTGTGGATTGGCAGTAGTCTTGTCGTCTTCTATCTCAGTGACATAGGTGCGTCTGCCGTTGGTGAGCTGGTAATTAAACACTGACCTGTATAATTTAGCCACTGGTATCGGCTTGCTTGTCTATGCAGCACGTTCGGGCACACAATTCGGTGAACACAGGGTCGAGTCATTTGGAACTGCATTCTGGTCGATTTCTGTTAGCTTGAATGTCCTGGCTACCACCTTGATCGCCGGCCGCCTGCTTTACCACCGCCGCACAATCCGCATGGTTTCACCGGAGCGCAATGACTACTACATCTCCGTCATCTCCATCGTAGCTGAGTCCGCAGCAGTGTACTCCATTAGCGGGCTTATCTACATCCCGCTCTTCGCACGGAATCTGCCCCTGCAGTATCCATTCGCCGCTTTATTCTGTGCCGCGTCTGTACGTCGCCTGCTGGAAACATGATTTCTATACAAAGCTGACGCGACTCACAGACCATTGCACCAAACCTGATCATTCTGCGCATGGCACTGGGAGTTGCTGTCACAAATCAGACTCTCAAGACCTACAGCTCGTATACTGCAACCGCGGGTTCTACCCCGAGTAAACGATGCCTGCAAGCACGAATCGCAACAACGACGGAGTCCCACCGTGATACGGCTACCATGGCATCTGGCGTCATCAACACCCCAGCTGAAGGCTACTATACCACATTGGGTAAGGCCAACCCCCAGGAGGGAGAGATATATGCATTGGTGCGTGGAGCGTCGTGCTTATAGCATCGTAGCGCAGCTCATACTGCATCTAGCGTACCTTCAAGGACGCAGACACGGTGTCCTCAGTATAGGACAACTCCTACTCCTTGCGTAACGATCTTCGGGTATCCTCATTTCTGCTTACGAGGAATTATGCTCTACATCAACGTTGTATTGTATTCTGGTATTATTTCGAATATAACGTGCTCAGCATACTACAATGTCAGTCATATTGCTGAAGACCTCCCTCGCAAAAAGTATACTTAGGCGGCATGGGGCATAGCGGCGCTCGGCATCTCGGCAGTGACATGCCCTCTGCAGCGCGCGGCACAAGCGGGCGGCTATCCAGCGGTTACAGTTTGTCTGAATGAGCCACGGTCTATTTCTTCCAATTGTCATTACTCACTACATCGAAAGGCCTGAAGGTATCGCCGGTCCAGAGCACACCAACTCTTCCTCGGGTTATAGCTCCCGGACGAGCGAGTGCGGAGACTAATTGGCTATGCCTGCGCGACGATGTCGCAACCCCCCATCACTCACGCACCAGTCGATGGCGACCCATGAACCTGGCCCGTCTATTTCCATGCACAACGTTGCGTTCGTCCATCGCCGACAAGGAGTTAGGCTCGCTCTGCTGAAGGAATACCTGTCGCACCTGGATAACCACTCGGACTGTCCGGGATATCAGCTTGAGCGCATGCTGCTCGTCACACGTTGAGATCTGCCCGGTCTGTACGAAAAGTAGGAGGGGGTGGTTTCTAGTGGATGGGTGAAATCGCAGGTCTTGCACGGGTCACAGTCATGGTTCGAGATGCGGAAGGTGCGTACGCTCCACCATCACAGTCAGAGCAACCCACCTCCGTGCTCACCAACATCTGGGAGCAGCTACAACGGGCGTTGACATCGAGAGACCACCTACGGGCGGTGCTGCCCTCAACAATCCCCGTCGCCGACGATGGACAGGGCGATCAGCGACACCAAGCCGACCTGCCGTGTCACCGGGACGGACGTGGCAGCATTATTCTCAAGACTGGCCCAGGCTCCTTCGTAGAGCGCGAGAGCGCGCCGCTTGACCCACCAGGGGTTTTTGCAACGTCTGTAAGTCTGCTCGCGCCTCTTCCACAACCATCGGCGACGATGAACTGGTGGCTGGTAACTCCGAATGCGATGGCGTTTGAGAACATTGCTTTCACACGGCCCGTGGCCCTGCAAGATAACGTAGTTGGGAGCTCATATTCTAGTGTGCTATGCTAACGCTCCTGATTTGTGCTGCAGCGACAGACAAGACCCTGAAGCTGCTGATCAGGCGGAGTGCGACCTTCGACCATTAAGATGGTGTGAGGCGGGCGGGAGCGAGTTCTGGTTGGTCGCGAGTCCGAGTCGTGTGGGATATCGAAAATAATGGATATTGCTTGCGAAGCGACACTGCTACGCGTTTGACTGTTTGGATATCGTCAGATATACATGCTCACTGCGATGTAAGATGTCTGGATGTAGGAGGGCGTGATCGATATGCAGCTCTGTGGAGGTAACGCATTACATGGCAAGTGTCGTCATCTAGCGTTCTCTTGGTTTGGTGATTTCCGCACCACGGAGCCCTGGCGCAACCAGACACTGTCCTGTCGATGCCATCACTTACGTTGCTAACGCTTTCTTGGATTCTTGACTGTATTGACACTGGACAGGAGCCTCTTATACCGCTCGTAGCATACGCTCGCGTACCAAGTCAATCACGAGGCAGCACAGCGTTCTTATGAAACTACGTGGCAGGACGCGGATTTAAATAAAAAAAGGACCAGTTTTATATCCGCTTGAGGATGCGGATGCTGCTCATTGCTAGGGCGATATGTTGGACATGTGCAGTGCACCGAACACGTGAGTGTATGCTCCAATATTGCGTCCTTTACCCCTTCCTCCGTGGATTGAAGCGAGGTTTCCGGTTCCAGTACAACGCCGTCCCCGTGGAGGTCATGTGTGACTGGCAGATTGTGGCCGATCTCTCATTCACTGTTGCCTGAATGTTCGCTGATCTGGTTTCTGAGTCCTTGTTACCTAGCTAACACATAGGACGCACTATATTCAGCTCGGCACAGTGTACTCTAGAAATATCCCATGTCAATCCGGCAAAGAATATAGGTATGTCTGCTACGGCGCATGGTAGCGAATCGACAGCACTTCGATTGAACAAAGCGCATTGTCTCTATGGGGATTGTAACAGATACCTGTGGGTCGCGAAGATTCGTATTGTCGCCAGATGTCTTCTTTCGATCTCCATGCTTCAGCCGGTATGAAATTTGCATTCACTTCAGGGCGTCCTCACTCTTCGAGATAACAGGTTATTTGGAGACCGGTGTTCTCCATGCAGATCTGTTGTCCTGTTTGCGCGGGACAACACCTACCACTTGCCTTACTGGGCTTGTTGTCAAGTGTCATTCACCGCCCAGCGAGGCGCCCGTAAATCACAGAAGCAAACCTTATGCAAGAGCATGGGAATGCAGACAGATCCAGCCGCCTGCCTTGTATTTCGTGTCCACTGCTCTCACAGCATCCTTGTGCAGTACTGCGCATATGTCGTGGCTTATCTTACGGGCCCTGCCCGCTTTCTGTCATCACAAGTAACCCCGCCCACCTCTACTCCTCTGACCGCTCCTTGCGTGGGCCATGTCTACAGCCTCCGCGGAGACCTTTCCCAGCCGCCCTGCAAGCTCTGCAGTCTGGGAACGCGCGCTTGAACGGCACCGAGAGGACACGGCCATCGACATCACCTCCGACGCTATAGCGCCCGAGCTCGGGTCTATCTGCAATCATGATACGCTGCTACTCTTCGCCAAAGAACGTCGCGGCGCATGCAACATGGACACGCATTGGGATACGCGCACATCGGACACCCTCCGACCCATTTTGGTAGACCTCGAACTACTCCTTGGCATCGTGACAGGCACTGCACCTTCGGTGAGAGAGCCAAGTTCTATTGAGCGAGAGGGCCGATCTCACTCAAGTATCGGGTTCAGAAGCTTTCCGCCGAAGTGTGCTATCGTGCGATCGGGGCATTGTTCCGGGTATATCTCGTTCTCATCTTGGTATCCTCATGAGGCGTACTCTGACATGTGCGCAGGTAGCCAAAAAAGACATCGCCTATAAGGCCATCATATCTGTGATCGAGCAGGTATCGCATGTACCCGACGAGCTGTGCTCGACATCGTCGACGACGGGCGTGGAAGAGTGTTGCGTTCAGTATGCTGCAACAATCGTCGTTCTGATGGGGGTTTGTCACAAGGTCATCGATTGGAAAATAAACAGTGAGAAGCTAGGTTCTGCATGGCCTGCAGCACGATACTGACCTGCAGCTAGCCCTCGCGCGGAAGGACATACTGATGAAGGACGATTCTGTACGAATGCTACTAGAGGAGCTCAGGTTGCAGGTCGATGATTTACGATGGAAAATTGGTCAGATACTTCTGCATGAATGCTATTTGTTTCACTCAATGCGACAATATAGGGCCGTTCGAAGTCCAATGTCAGCGTGCTTGGAGCGAGATTCAGGATGCTGCAAAACAAGCACATCTCGATCTGCACAATCTCGATGCCATTGACACCATCAGCGACCTCATCCTGCGACTGAATGCCTACTGGCGTCAGACCGAGGTACGGTCAAAGGATCAAACGCGACTGCTGGCAGCTGCGCGGTCAATGCTGGACCCCCACATGGTGTCACTCCGCGAAATGGACAAACACGTTCACGTGGTGCGTCGCCGAGCGTGCGGTAGCCTCATCGGAGTCGACACGATTGATCGACCATCATTCAGGATCCGGAATTGTGGCAACGGCTTCTGGGCTCCGCGGTATTGCTCGTTGAGGCTAGTGTGACTTTCAAAAAGCAGGATTAATGGCAGCTGATGTCACTGGTGCAGACTGCAAGAGGACGCAACAGGATGTACGGCATCATTGTGGATGTGTTTTCACGTCTCACCACCATACTCCAACGTGTATCGTCACACTCTCCCACTGAAGAGGTCATCAGCGCAAGCGTCCTGAGCTGTCGTATTTTGCTCGAGATGACGAAAGTCATACTACTATCTGTGGGTGTCATCAAAGGACGGAAAGTATGGTTCAGCATCAAGCTGTGGACAGGGATAGAGAAATCTGTCTTACTGAGTCGCGAGCCCCTACGGTCCGCTATCTACAAAATCGATGGCCTTGTTGCACGGTTGTTGGACAGCATGTCCCCCTCTGGTTAGTGTCATGACTGTATCGATGCTTATGTTCTCGCACTCATTCCTGCCTGGCAGCAATGGAGTCCATTAGCATGCAGCTGTGGAAGGACGCGATCACGATGTATACAGCTACCACAGGAAAAGACATCAGATCGGTAGAGATGCTGCAGGCGATTGACAGCGTGGATGGCCTACGGTCTATGTTGGACACTGAGACGCATAGTTTTACGCATGAGAAAGAGAGGTACGGCGCGATCCACAAGGTGCTCGATCCCATCAGCAAGTGCATTACCCAGATTCTCGACGTTGTTTCCGATGCCGTAGAATCGGTACGTCCGTGTCCATCGACCGACACGTATGCATTCATAACTCCGAAATAGCATCTCAGTCACAGCAAGGTCATCTTCGGTGCCATCGGACTGCTGTTCAAGGTATTGTTTTATCTACCCAATATGCAAGTTGATGCTATATCCTTCCCACGTAGGCAGCAAGGGTGGTTGGCGCTACATACAACACGGTTCTGAAGCTTCTCACCACGCTATCAGATTTTCTCGGACGTCTCGAGCTGTATGCAAAGCAGGAGTGTTCAGCCGCATTGAAGATGATCCTGACGCAGATACTGTGCCAGTTGCTGGGGCTCGAGACAAAGGTCATTGCGGTCGGTCGCATATGTAAGTCATGCATCAAAGTACATATGCAAGACGCATGCTCCATTAATGATCCTCATAGCTGCTTTCGGGAAAGCGATCGTTGGACTGCACGACACGGAGGTGCACGATGCGCTTGCCAAGCTGGACCAGCTCATCGATAGCGAAGGCCGCCTAGTGGAAGCGACCACCCTGCGTATTGTCAGTGACACCGGGGAAGCCCTTCGAGTCGTAGATATTAAGGTCACGGAGGTCCTACAAGGCGTCGGACGGGTTCAAACGGGCGTACAAGAAGTATTTACAAGTGTAGGGCAGGTTCAAGAGCATGTCATGGTGGTACGATCAATCTTGGAACGTAAGTCGTTCTATCTCCGCATCGCTCCTCTCTCAGAAGCTAACCTCATGTTTCCAGAACAACATAATACAGTGGCCGCGAAAGAGGCAAAATTATGTGGTGTGGACATCACGTAGGTTGCTCCTTTGTATAACAGGAACGTGCTTACCCTCCCATTTCTGGCAGACCTGCTCCTCTACCGACAAAGCAGGCTATATGCATTGGTCGAGACGAGAACATCGATGCATTCAAGGCGTTGCTGCTACAACGGAGCCATGTTCTGATATTGGGAACGGGTGGTGTCGGCAAGACGACAATCGCGCTCGAGTTACTCCATCACCCGGAAGTCGCTTCCGCATTCTCGACTCGCTATTTCGTCTCGTGCGATGCTGTTCTAGGTCTGGAAGCATTTCGCCTCAGAGTGGCCGATTCACTGGGTGTTTCGCCGGAGATGCGAGGCCAACAGCTGCTTTCAGGCATCCTCCGAACGCTGCGTGCTCGCCCATCTGTGCTTTGCATAGACAACTTCGAGACCATCTGGGAGCCACCCCAGTCTCGCAAGGACGTCGAGGAGGATTTAGCGCAGCTAGCAGGCGTGGATGATGTCGTACTGATCGTCACCATGCGTGGAGTAGAGCGCCCAGGAGGGATCGCATGGGCACCCACGACGTCCCTTCGACCGCTGTCTGTAGACGACGGGCTGACGGTGTTTGCCAAAGTCAGTGGCGCCCCTGTTGACGAATACGGCGAAGAGCTAGTTCGTGCCACCGACGGCCTCCCTCTGGCCATCAGCATCCTCGCGCATCTCACACAGCCTGAAATGGAGACGACCGAGTCCTTGTGGAAACGTTGGAAGAAGGCAGGACCGGCGGTCGCCTCCCGAGATGACGGAGCTAACGAGAGACAGTTCAACCTGGGAACATCCATCGACCTCTCCCTGAGTAGTCCACGGATGCTCAGTGATCCATCGGCACTCACTGTACTTGCTATCATCAAGGAGCTGCCGGATGGTTTACCTCAATCACCTTACCTCCTTGACGAGTTTCAAAAGTTCCTCCCCGCGGACGTCAATCTTCAGCGATCTCTGCAAACGCTCAACCGGGTCGCCTTAGTGCACATTGACAAGCGCTCAGGCGAGAATGGCAGGTACCTGCTGCTCGCCCCGACGCGAGAGTATTGCGTGCGGTTGTCCACCCTCCGTCTCCCGGACGATACCACACACGCCTATCGTACCTTCTATGCAGCTCTGATAACCAGTTTTCGGTACGGAGAAACCGACGCCAGGGCTCACGCAATCGTGCGTCCCGAGTTGCTGAACGTCAGCAGCATCCTTACGGAGTGGCTGAAGGTGTCGCATCCTGATGCCGGCGTAATCTGTGCGGTCCTTTCTCATGCTGATTGGTCACAATATATCGGATTGCCCACAAGCACGCTACTGCGGCAGGTCATGAAACATCCAATAGATGACAAGGAGCTCTTGGCGAAATGCCATCAATGTTTGGGCGATGTTCTATACTACACCAACGAGCTCCAAGAAGCAGAGCAGAATTGGGACATGGCCCTTATTGGTCACGTCACTGCTGGCAAGTTGGCCGAGGCTGCTCATGTTCATCACAGCTTGGGACAGCTCTATACGCGCACAGATCGGCTAGACAAGGCGGAAGATGAATTGACATCCGCCTTGCGGCTGCACCAGGAGGTACAAGATTCTCTCTGGGAAGCTCACGACTATCAAGCTCTCGCAAGCGTCTACCGGCGCAGAAGTCAACTAGACAAGGCGGAAGACGCGCTGATGTCTGCCCTGCGGCTGCACAAGGAGGTGGAGGATTCGAACAGTGAAGCTAACGACCGCCAAGAGCTGGGGGAGCTCTATATCCGCACAGGTCGACCAGACAAGGCGGAAGATGAATTGACATCTGCCCTGCGGCTGCACAAGGGGGTGCATAGTTCTCTCGGCGAAGCTAATGACCTTCGAGCTCTTGGAGAAGTTTACCAACGCACCGGTCGACTGTACGAGGCGGAAGCCGCGTTAACATCTGCGCTGCGGCTGCACAGGGAGGTGCAGAGCTCTCTCAGCGAAGCTCACGATTATCACAGGCTGGGCACGCTCTACTTGCGCACAGGCCGACTATCCAAGGCAGAAGCTGCGCTGAGGTCCGCCCTACGGCTCCACAAGGGGGCGCAGGACTCCCTTGGCGAAGCCTACGACTATCATGCTCTTGGGGAACTCCACCGGCACGCAGGTCAGCTAGACAAGGCGGAAGACGCGCTGATGTCTGCCCTGCGGCTGCACAAAGAGGTGCAGGATCCTCTCGGTGAAGCTAACGATCATGGAGATCTGGGCACGCTCTACATGCACGCAGGTCGACTAGACAAGGCAGAAGCCGCTCTGATGTCCGCGCTGCGGCTACACAAGGAGGTCCAAAGCGCTCTCGGTGAGGCCCACGACCATCGAGCTCTCGGGGCACTCTACCATAGCACAGGTCGATCAGTGGAGGCAGAGGCCGAGTTCAACGCTTCCCTACGGTTGCATAGGGAGGTGCAGAGCACTGTCGGTGTAGCCGACGACCATCATGCTCTTGGAGAACTCTACCGGCACACAGGTCGACCAGATAAGGCAGAAGTCTCGTTGACGCTTGCTCTGCGGCTGCACAAGGAGGTGCAGGATCCTCTCGGCGAGGCTCATGATCATCAGCAGCTGGGGGATCTTTATCTATGCACAGATCGATTAGACAAGTCGGAAGATGAATTGACATCCGCCCTGCGGTTGCACAAGGAGGTGCAGGATCCTCTCGGCGAGGCCAACGACTATCAACGTCTGGGAGTGCTCTATTCACGCACAGGACGTCCCGTGGATGCTATGACCTCCCTCCAGGATGCTTTGCATCTGTTCGAACAGATCGGGAACAACCTTGGCAGGGCCCATGTCCTTCAGTTGCTCGGAGAGTTATACCTGCATAGCAATCAGTTCCAGGAAGCTGAGGCCGCATTCTCTCAAGTGTTCGGTCTTCACGAAGAGATCCAAGACTATATAGATGCGCAGAACGATTTAAAATATCTTGTCAAACTCTATTTCAGTCTCGGTCGAGAGGATGACGCAGCAGGAGCACTTCAGAAGCTCATCGAATGTCTACGTCGCACGCAGCGCTCCCACGACTTTGCGGACGATCTTCAGACATTCGGCTCCGTCTACATTAGAATGGGTCGACTGGACGAGGCGGAGGCACCGCTGAGAGAGGCACTGCAGCTGCACCAGGGTCTTGAAGGTGTAGACGAGAAGATCGCGCGTGACCGCGCACTGCTGGATTGTTTGCGTTCAATGCGCGAACGCCAGCCGTGTTGACACGAAGCACAGTAAGCACTTTGGTGTGACAACGGAGTATATGCCATGCTGTATGCTGATGTCCTGTTTCCGCAGAAAACATCGCTTCTTGAACTCTCGGCTCGATCCTGTGCGTGACTCCCGCGGAGTCTCATTTGTGGGCGACCAAGCGCGTCCCAACGCCTTGCACATGCGCGTGTGCATGACGCCGAGTTATCGCGTCGGGACCGGCGCGATATTGACGCGCCCCTGTCGTACCTGTACTTGTGACCCTCATGCCTTATTTCTTTGAAACTTCTCCCGAGATAGCATTACTTACCTCGCGTAGCAACCAGTTATATACCCGACGTCTGGTAACACGGACTTCAGTTGTTGTTCGCACTCCCACTGAAGTCCGACTCTTACCTCGTTAGATCTCTCGCTCGTCTCGTTAAGATCATTTGTCAGACATCGTTTCGTAATCATCATCATCATGTTCTTGCATATTTTCCTATATGACTAAGTGCTGCGTTATCCTGTTGAAATGCCACCTTTCGACGGCATCGGCAACGCACAGCAATGCTAGTGTGTCCATAAAGGTGTGCAATAGTCCGCGATTCTGCGCATGCGAAGGATGTGTATTTTATATCATAATAACGGTTTGTATATTGCGAAAGAGCAGCTTTACACCATACCCCAAGCTGCTGCACCTCGAACATCGAAGTAGAGGGCCAGGAAAGCTTCCTCTCAGCGTGCTGTGCATATGTCATGCAATGGCTGAGCTAATACGTGGGTTCTACGGAGGAATTTCGAGTAGAAAAAGGGCCGTGACACACTGATCCTTCCGTCAGCCAGACAGTATTCGAGTGCCACTTGGACGAGAAAGACAGTATGTCAAGGCTAGTAGCCTAATGATATTGGAAGCGGGAAAGAACTGTGTGTTTCATGTGCAAGACATGGCCGCCCATAGTTGTTGAGACCACGTCGCGGGCAAAACATGGGCAAATATCCGAAAAAGGCGACAGCCATTCGTGTTGAGTGAACTGTGAAATACCTTTATTTGAATGTAAGGTAGACGAAGCGGAGAACTCTTGACATATAGGAAAGGGAGTAAAGGGTTTCCAGATCTCATGGTCTAGCGGTCTGCCGACACAGCGGTGACTGCAGGTCGGCCCACTAGAGAACCCGCATGTGCATGATCAAAGACCTCTTGAAGCACAATGGACCCAATAAGGTGAGGCCTTGTGAATCGATGACGATCGGTGAGAGAACAAGGCCAATAATGGGAGTGCCTTGTGTTTGCATAGTCAGAACAATGGAGAAAACACTCAGCCAATTGCCAAAGTCGTCTCCCATGATAGCCACCATCAAGTCTCAAGGGACGACTTCGATCAAGAGAAGCTCACCCTGCGCTCGTTAGCACCAACCCCGGCGTCAATGCCTAGCCATAAAGTAAGCGGGGGCTAGAGCCTCGTTCAGCCTCTGCTGTCACCTCTCTCCACTATTTGTTCTGCTTTCCCAGCACGATGTCCTCTATACTCGACCTTTCCGATATCATCGATCAATCCCAGCTTGCACCAGAGACTGATCCTTTTCCAAAAGTTCACAGGAGCGAGTTCGAGACGCCGAGGATGGGACATTTCTGGGCAGCATGGAGGACTTATAGTGAACACGTAAAGATCGTGAGCGATCGCGATCACAGTCGTGAGGTGCGGACGTTCGTCCCCTAGTGGAGAATTTCGCTGAGCCTATAGTTCACTCGCTCAGGCTGCTACTGTTGGTCCCTTCACAGCATGGCCAGAACCCTCTGGAGTATTCCTGAGTGGCGTGCTCCCGCCTACAGGAACCTCTTCTACTTCTCAGAGCATATCACAAGGGCAGGGATTTGACATGTCCCTACCAGATGGCACAACCCACGACATGTCCCCGCCGCTCGATGTCAACGAAGATTCCACGAGCGACCAGGCCGAGACACATTTTACATCGATCAACGGCATCGCGGACACCACGAATACTGTTGCATCGCCTGGAGGCGCTGGGACACAACTCGTGTCCAGTGCTGTCGCCTCTGGTCTACACACAGTAGAACAGATGACAACAAACAACAAACATGTAAACTGCATTCCCAGCGCCTTCGTCGAAGGCAACACGGACCCGCAGAATGTTATTGACCAAGAGCCTGTTCCGGCTGACAGCGCTGACGGTCATGTACTCGCCGAAACTGGACTTGGCTCGTCCTCAGGATCGCAGTCCGTTCAATCTTGTTCTAGCGCACAAGTGCGGGATCAGGTCATACAGACGACGGAGCCTCAGGTCCTAGCGACAGGCCCAAGTGCAGGAAACATTGTGAGGCGCAGCAATCGGAATCGGGAGCGCGCCGAGGCCACACCCTCCACGACCCCTATCCACTCCGAGCAGCCGCTAAAACGTGCGCGCATCGGGAACACACCCACACCCACGGGCAACGGCAAAACAGCGGCAATGGTAGCCTCCAAGCCCAAACCCATCGCGATGGCAGACGGACGCTTCGCTTGCCCGCACTGCCCAGCAAAGAAATTTGAGCGCTACCATGACTGTCGCCGACACATAGACATGAGCAAGCGATGTCTGGGATGGAACGGGATCCTCTATCCCTGTCGTCGCTGCGGAAAGAAGTATACGAGGCCCGACGCGGCGAAACGGCACATGGACGACAAGCCGAATTGTGGGCAGAAGGGTGGGAGGAAGAAGGGCGGTAAGAAGGAGAATAGGCCCAGAGACGACTGAAGGCGCACCTGTAGGAGAGCGTCATATGGATACGGCTCGAGAGCGTCGCTGCTCATCAGCCTTCGTCCTTCCAGCCTCTTCTTT